ACATGGAGATGAGAACAAAATCTGTCTTCAAGCAAAGCTGCACAGGTGGAGTATGTTTTGCTTGGCATGAACACTTTGCCAGATTAAGAGCTATATTTGTAAACCCCTTGGAGATATCAAAAGGGAGGCGTGTTAGCAGTCTTATTCCTGGACCAGCTTTACGACTAGATTTAAATATGCTACAAATGTGTTGCAAGAAGCCTAAATCTACAAGAAGCCCAAGTCCCACATGTAGTTCTCACTGTTCATGGTGTCCCTGTAGGTGTGAGATTGATAAAACCTCACTAAAAACCAGCAGCAGACAAAAAGCATCCAATTACTCAGAGCAGAGTGGCTGGGCAGAAGCTCTGAGCTGCACTCCCAAAGTTACCATCTCACCTCTCCAGCTTCCCAAACTTTAGCAATGCTGAAATGGGGATGAAAATGTATCTTGTCACTTGAAAAGCACGCTCGGGGCAGGAGCAGGGAGGGAGCTGGAGCTGTTTGGCTGCTGCCCACTGACACTGGCTCATTGAGCTCTCCTGAGGTCCTCATCCATCTGGTTCTGGGAATTTACACTCTTGTTTCACCTTGAAAGCCTACTGCTGCTCCTTTCCCGTGCTGTTGCTCTGAATTCCCATCTAGGTACTATATTTTCTGTTAGCTGCACTTACTCTGCTCTCACCCTCCAGCAAGCCGTTACTAAAGAAAACTCTATCTCTAGGCTAATGCTTATGAGTGCCTTAAAATACAACTCTTCAGACTGTGAGGATCCTGCTCCACCCTGGTCATCCTCCCCCTCTCTTAAGGAATCATTACTTTTCAGAAAAGCTTGTATCACCAACCTACACATGGTCAGGGCTGTGAATTGGAACCTGCCTCAAAAAGAGGTACCTGGGTGATGTCACTGCTAGTAAGAGGCTGCTTGAGGCTTATTTAAAGAAGAAATTATCACTTTTAACAGAAACTTTGACAAATAGAAGCAAATCTCCCTGTTACACACGAAGCATCCTGCTGCAAACAAACCGCATCCACATCAAGCTGTGCATATGAAATTAATCCAAGGCATAACCTTTAGCTCTACACTTGCACAATATTTTAGTGCCAAACTATAAATATTTGATCTGTTGCTCTTCTAAGCAAAATGGATTTGTTGTGCTCGTCTGCAGAGTTATCAACTATTCCAAAGTATATTTATTGCTGGCTAAATGACTTGAAAAGTGCCTTTTCCTTCTTATGTTATTAGGTGATATTTAGGGAGTAAATGTGGAAATTTACTATCCTGAGCATCAAAATTAACCCTTTATCTTGGAAAGGAAACATTTCCTGTCTGGCAACACACAGAACTAAGAACCAACCAAGGTATTTAGCATACACACTGCAGCCTAGTTAATTATATATGATTATGTTCCTTTATGTTTTGGGGTCACACTCAGCGCTACAATCCAGCTTCCATTTGCAATCACTAGAGAAATAAACCAGCATCCTTAAGTCATCAGCAAAGAATGATTCAATGCATTGGAAGAGTATTATAAAAACCTCTTTGCACAGCAAAATAAATTAATCTAAGCCCATGACTCACATACAACTGCAGGATGAGTTTTCAAAGTGATGATGGGTTGAAAACAGGCTTTGGTGAATAGTTGGAATATTGGCTTTTTAACAATTCTTTGTTCTGCTGGCTGAGAACGCACACATCAAGAAAGCAGGAATTCCATAGGATCATGGAATCCCAAAGAAGTTTGGGTTGGAAGGGGCCTTAAAGCTCCTCCAGCTCCAACCCCTGCCACGGGCAGGGACACCTTCCACTAGAGCAGCTTGCTCCAAGCCCCTGTGTCCAACCTGGCCTTGAACACTGCCAGGGATGGGGCAGCCACAGCTTCTCTGGGCACCCTGTGCCAGTGCCTCAGCACCCTCACAGGGAAGAGCTTCTGCCTAAGAGCTCATCTCAGTCTCCCCTCTGGCAGGTTAAAGCCATTCCCCTTGGCCTGTCCCTACAGGCCCTTGTCCCAAGCCCCTCTCCAGGTTTCCTGCAGCCCCTTCAGGCACTGGAGCTGCTCTCAGGTCTCCCCTCAAGGAGCCTTCTCTTCTCCAGGCTGCCCCAGCCCAGCTCTCTCAGCCTGGCTCCAGAGCAGAGCTGCTCCAGCCCTCACAGCATCTCCGTGGCCTCCTCTGTACCCACTCCCAACAGCTCCACATCCTCCTTATGTCAGGGACCCCTGAGCTGTATGTTGGTTTGTTCCAGATAAACTTCCTGGACCTAGTTTGAGATGGAGCACTAGTGGGAGTGTGTCATCTGACTGGTGTGAGCTTCCACTGCTGATGGAAGTTCTGCTGCACTGTGAAAGGACACGAAACCTTCAATGGCTTCCCTCTTCACACACCCACTACTGTAAATACCATCTGAGAGGCAAAAGATGCCCCTGTGGGTGAGCTGCCGGGGATGCTGCCTGCCAGCAGCACACTGGGTAAAGAGCCAGTGCTTCGTTTCACCAGGAGTATCACACATGCTCCGGGTGGGAAAAACACGCTGGCACAAAGGTGCTTTGCAGGAGTGAGTCCTTGGTGCTCCTGGCCCGGCAGAAAGCACAAAGCCTGGCTGTGCCCAGTCACTTTGTCTCCATGTTCCTTGTGATGAGTAATGTCACTTTTAGGGCTAATGATGCAGGTGTGTTTGTGCTCCTGTGCTGGCCATGTGCGGGGGGGACATGCGTAATGGCACAGACGAGTGACACTCAAGACAGCACATTACTGCTGCAGCCTCCAGCTCATCTCCTGCTAATTGCTCTCCAAAATGATGCAGTTTGGACATAAAAACATTTTCAACAGTATCATTAATTCCAGAGGGGAGGGGGAACATTTCCTGCAGTGATTACAGCCAGCAACCTCAGCCTTTCCTCATTATTTAATAGCACCCTACCAAACACACTTTAACGTTGATTATCAGAGAGATCTGTATTATCTGCTCAACTCTGGAGTGGGATAAATGGGTCTCTTTAGGAGAAAGTGTTACCTGTCGTAGCCAAATTCATTTATCTGTTTTCCAAAATACTTATCAAACCTAATACTTAATTTATTTTAGAGCACAGATGTTGTTAAATGATGCTGGTACTGGCCTAGACAACACCACGGTACATTTTAATGAACTCCGCTATGTTTTCTGTGCTCCTTTGTCCTAAAATGATCATTTATGCCTCACAGAAAATGAGGAGCATCTTTTAACTCAAATAACAAGGAATTCAGTGGGGAAAAAAAAGCAGATCGGAATGATAAGGATTGTCCTTACTGTCCTAAGGTATGACAAGGATAAGCTGTTTGTCCCATCTTGAGCAAGCCACGATGTGCCCAAGCACATCCTTGGAACTTACTGCACGTTTTAATGTGTCACTCGGTGTGGTTTGTCTCCAGCCTCCTTCCTATAAACACTGTAGTTTATGCGGAGATGGTTTGTCTTTAAGGGTTCTCATGTCATGCCAACGAGTAACCTGAGCACTGACCTGCTCCACGGAAGGAGGCTCGGAGTGAGCTGGAATCCTGCTGTGCTCACCCTGTAGCACCAGCTCTGTGGGTCACGGGAGGCACCCCCCACAATGGGGTCATTCTGTCAGCCCTGGGACACTGGCAACCCTTGACTCAGGGGACAGGACTCCAGGAATGTTTACTCAGCGGGTGACACACGTGGTGACGTGGCACAACAGGAGCCTGGTGTTTCTGGAGACGTTTTGGGTAGATCCAGCAGAACTTCCGCGTTTCACAGGGATCTGCGCTGTTTTTTCACACCGGGAAGGGAAAGTGGCTCCACGTTGGTCATTTAGTGGGAATCTGGGAAAGAAAAAGGTGGGAGACCTTAAAGTTTGGAAAACTGCGTCTCTTCCTCTGTGCTGCCCCCAAACGAGCTTTTGTGCTTTTCCACTCTACTTCCAGAGGAACATGGCTGCTGAGCCGCTGCCAGCGCTGTTCTCCATGCTCCTGGAGCACCCTCTTCTGTTTAAGGAGTTGCAGTTCCCAGCTCCCACCCCAGCAGCAACGCACAGACCTTTCAAATACAAAATCAACCCGCAAAGCGGGTGCAGGAACATGCATTTACCTCGCAACTGATGGGATATGTCAATGATTAACTCCGGTTCCACTTCACTCTCTCTGAAAGCTCGGAGAGCAGTGCAGGTACTGGATGTGTGAATCACCACGGGCAGCACAGGTTGTGCTCTGACTGTACCAACATGAGCAGAGGCCATTTGTGGTGCTGTTCGAATGGGTGCAACATCACAGACTCCTGGAATGGTTTGTGTTGGAAGGGACCTTAGAGCTCCTCCAGCTCCAACCCCTGCCACGGGCAGGGACACCTTCCACTAGAGCAGCTTGCTCCAAGCCCCTGTGTCCAACCTGGCCTTGAACACTGCCAGGGATGGGGCAGCCACAGCTTCTCTGGGCACCCTGTGCCAGCGCCTCAGCACCCTCACAGGGAAGAGCTTCTGCCTAAGAGCTCATCTCAGTCTCCCCTCTGGCAGGTTAAAGCCATTCCCCTTGGCCTGTCCCTACAGGCCCTTGTCCCAAGCCCCTCTCCAGGTTTCCTGGAGCCCGTTTAGGCACTGGAGCTGCTCTCAGGTCTCCCCTTCAGGAGCCTTCTCTTCTCCAGGCTGCCCCAGCCCAGCTCTCTCAGCCTGGCTCCAGAGCAGAGCTGCTCCAGCCCTCGCAGCAGCTCCGTGGCCTCCTCTGGACTCGCTATCCCACTTTCCACAGTTTCAGGTACACTTTGAAACAGGCTTTCCCCCAGCCCATCTGTGGAACCGGAACCCCAACCCCACCACATCCCCTGCCTCCAAAGCACCTTGTACCGGCCACGGCTCGGCCGCGGGCGGCACCCGGGGTCCGCCTACCGCTGAGGGGGAGATCAGCGAGACCCTGCTAGAGCGGCTCCGCGCGCCGCTTCTCTATGGTCGAGTGCCTGCCGCTCTATGGTTCGGCGCTGGCGGACGTGCGGTGACGCCAGGAGGCGTGGCCCGGGGGGGGTGGGGGGGGAGCGCGGCGCCGCTCTAGGTGGAGGCTCGCGGCTGAGCCCAAGCCGGCTGCTCGGCGGGCTCGCGTCTCTATGGTGGCTGAGGCGAGCGGCGCTCTAGGCGTGCCTCTCGATGGTCCGCGCTGTCGCTAGGCGGTGCGGGGCCTAGGCCTCGGCGGGTCGGCGCCGCCATGGCCGCCTCGGCGGGCCCGGCGGAGGGGCCGTGCGTGCTGTGCTGCGGGGAGCTGGACGTGGTGGCGCTGGGCCGCTGCGAGCACCCCATCTGCTACCGCTGCTCCGTGCGGATGCGGGCGCTCTGCGGCGTGCGGTACTGCGCGGTGTGCCGGGAGGAGCTGGCTCAGGTGAGGCCGCCGGGGCAGGGGCCGGGGCCGGGGCCGGGTCGGCCGCTGTGGAGAGCGGGGGCGTGGAGCCGGGGCACCGGGAGCTGTAGAACGCTCCGAGGGGAACGGGGAACGGGAAGGGCGGGGGGGGGGGAGCGTACACAGCCCGGAGCCGTCTGCGTTTATCGCTGCCTGCCCGTTCGGAGGGGACGGGAGAGGGTCGGGGGTAAAACATGAAGGAAATAGCGTTTAAAGGGGGTGTTTGGTTGTGTACTGAGAGGGCTTGCCCTGCGGAGCTGGCGTTGCGTGATCCCGGGTGAGTGTGTCATCCTGCCCGGTTCCTGACTCGCTGTTAAGCTCTGGGAACAACGCGCGTTGTGTCCGTTCAGGGCTGGCTCCTGCCTCGCCTCCCGTCCCTGTTGGCCTGAGCTGGAAAAGGGGTTTTCCCCTGGGGCACAGCATTCCTGACGGATTCCTTCAGGGGAGTCGCGCCCATGCTGTGACTCGGTGTGGACCGAGGCGTCGGCAGTGAAGGAAAGTTTGAGGGTGTTTGTGAAAGCAGATCCTCGTGTGTGGGTTTGGTTTTGCAGGAGTAATGGAGTGACAAACCCTCTTGGGAGTAAAAGGATTGTTCCTGGCGCCGAGTGAAACCCACTGAGGTGGCTTAGGAAAGGAAATAACCCAGATACATCGGGGGAGTGGGGCTTTCCCCTTAACCCTTCCCCAGCTGAGCTCTTTGCTTTGGCTGCTTCTTGTGGTGTTCAGAAGGTTGGAGGGGCTGAAGATCCTCAGCCTTTGCAGAGGCCAGAGGGGTCGATGGGGTTTTTAGCCTGAGCTTGCGGGCATTAAGTAGCCTCTGAGTCCAGCAAGATGCTCATGGAAGTGGTTTTATCCCTGCTCATCCTCTGAGGAGCTGCTGCTCCGCTTCTCTCATCTGATGAAGAGCAAGGAGTGAGCTTGCTCTTCATTCTGAAACCTGCTTGGTGCTTGGTAATCCTGAGAGTTTGATAGTGCTGTGTTCTGAGCCTGGTCGTTGAGCCACCTTTCCCCGCCTTTATGAACTGTTTAAAGTGGTCCTGTTCTAATGGACCGCGAGGTTATTTCTGATGGTGCTGCTCTTCTATCCCCATTGTCTCCGAGTGCTGATCTAACGTTGTTCTCTCTGCTCACCCTCTGGCCCAAGGAAAGAAACCAAAGACAGGGGGTGTATAAACCCCATCAAAACTGCTGTTAAACGAACGGAATATACTTGTAGGACCTAAAACCAGGCACCACAGTGTGCGTAGAGTTAGCAGAGGCAAGGAGCAGCACTACTGAGTCTCGGTGGTGTTGTACAGAGCAGCGTGGCCCCAGTGGGTGAAGTCACAGCAGTGTCCAAAGGAGATGTAAGGATGAAGATGAGCACAGGCTGGGATGGAGGAGGAAGCAGGATCGACCTGTTATGGTAATAGGTGCTTTCAGGGATGCATAATCATGGCAGTGACGTGAGCAAGGGTTGCGTGTTGACCTGTAAACTCCTGCATGCTTGGCTCAGGCTGGGAGGATCTGTCAGGAGGTGTGTGAGGCTGTTCTTGGAACTGCTGTAGGGAACTGTCTTGGATTCTGGTGGTAAAATCTCCTTCTCAGCAACCCATTCCAACTGCAAATGAGGTTTGGTTAAAGAACTTAGGTAGGTTTTGTTGTCAGTTATCCAGCAAACTGAAACTTGCATTCCCTGTGTTTGAAGCTTGATGTTTCAGCAAGTTGGGTGCATTTTTTTGCCTTGGTTAACTTAAAATTGACCCAGCTGTAAAGTGAGCTTTTCAGAACGCCACAAAACAAGACACAAAAGGCTTGTTCCATGGTATTTCATCCCAACAAGGGTAGAGGAGTGACTTAACAAGACTGAACTAGACGTGTATTGTACAACTGGATGCTTTTGTTAAGGTTGTAAGTATCTCTAGAGTTAGAGTGGGCACTGTAAGGACTGAAAGGTGCATCCTGTATCCATGTCTCAGCCTTTCCGAGCTACTGCAGGTAACTCCAGCTCTGTCAGCACTGCTGCTGCTATGCCAGCAGTTCCCAAAGTGGGAACGTGCACCAGAGCAGATCAGCAGCTTCAGAGGAAGGGTGAGATGCTGTAATGGCTGCAGTGTGAGACCTGAGCTGTGGGAGGTCTGTGGGAGCAGCTGTGAGCCAGCAGGTCCCCTCTGGAGGAGTATGGTTTTGTCCTGGGTTTGGTTGGGATAGAGTTCATGGAATTCCTAGTGCTGTGTTTGGGCTTAGTCTGGGAGCAGTGCTGATAACACACCGATGGTGTAGTTGTTGCTTACCCTGACCAAGGACTTTTCAGTGCTCATGCTCTGCCAGTGAGGAGGGGCACAAGAACCAGAGGGCAGCAGAGCCAGGACAGCTGACATGAACTAACTGAAGGGATTTCCATAGCATAGCACATCAGGCCCAGTATAGAAACTGGGGGGAGTTGGCTGGGGGCAACTGATCACAGCCTGGGGACTGGCTGGGCATCAGACAGTGGGTGGGAAGCAATTGTACTGTGCATCACTTGTTCACCTTGGCTTTGATTGCTCTTTCTTTTTGTTATCTCACTTATTATAGTCTTTATTTTGGTTATTACATGGTCCTTACCTCGACCCACGGGGTCTTTTCTGATCCTCTCCCCCATCTCACCAGTGCAAGGGTATGGTACTCACTTGCCAGCTGGAGTTAAACCGTGTCAGTGGTACAGATAATTTGGGAAGTGATGTAGTGTTTTGTTTCTTGCTTTCCTGGTAGTTAAGGGAAGCAGGAGCAGTGCTCTCCCCATCAGACCCTGGGTAACATCACTCCTCACTTACACGCTGTTGGTTTGTGGGTTATCTCCTGCCAGCAGGTAGAGGGGAGCTGAGTGCGGGGCTCCTGGCAGCGCTTGCTGCAGAAGGGCTTGAATTGGTTGAAGGTATTTCCTCACAGCACAAGTGTAGTAGCAAAACCAACCATAAAAGTGTTTCCTGATGTGGTTCAAAATCCAAAGCCCAGCCCAGCCCAATCCACTTTTGTGGAAGCTGGCTCCATGGCTGGAAGTTGATAAGGAGCTGTCACGGTGGCTTTGCTGACAGTAACTGGGGGGTGGTGACAACCAGCTGGGACTCACCCAAAGCTCTGCAGGTGCCATCCAAGCTGCAGGCTGCAGCAGGTTCTTGACAAAGAGAGTTTGTGCTGAGGGGTTCATCCAGCCCCCAAAGGCTGCAGCCCCAGTGTGCTCCCACTGATCCTGTCTGCCTATCCTGCAGGTCGTCTTCGGACGGAAGCTCACGTCCTTCTCTACAATAGCACTTAACCAGCTGCAGCATGAGAAGAAATATGACATTTATTTTACAGATGGAGATGTTTATGCACTGTACAGGTGAGTCCTGGCATCCTTCTGGTAACTTGTCCCTGCAGCAGCATATTCTGGTCTGCATTACGTGGCAGAAAACGCGTGCTATAGAGAACAGCGTGGGTTTGTTTTGTGGGACTGGAGTGGCTGGCGGTGACACACAGCACAGGGACAAGAGGCTGGAGCGGCTCAGTCAGTGGGAATGCTCAGTTCCAGGGCTGGCAAAGGGAGCAGCTCCTCAGGGCTGGGGTGTTGGATTCACTGACACCTTGCTCTGTCAACAAAAATTGCTTTTTGTTCCTTTAGCAAGAGCAAACTTGCTGAAAGGCTTTTCATGCCTTGCATGGCTGCTGTGGGAAGCAGTGAAGCCTGAATTGCTGTTAGGTAGACTCCCAGAAGCACAGGCTGGTTTGGGTTGGAAGGGGCCTTAAAACACAGCCAGTTCCAGCCCCCTTCCAGTGCAGGGGAATGGGGTTTGCCACTGAGCCCAGTGCTGCGACCTCAGCTCTTGGTGGGAATCACTGTGGGGTTTTTGTTTGTTCCCCCCATCCTTTTCTATTCATCTCTCCCCTCTGTATTCTTCAGCTTCTGGCAGTAGAAAGGGTAATTAAATTGGATGTGAGTGCTGCATGCATCAGCTGGATCTTCAGTTTAAGCCAGGGGCTTGTTGCACAGATGTAGTACAGCACACTCCAGTGTGTTACTTACCCTGTGACCACCCAGCTCTTCTCTTACTGCTCAAGCCTCTATGTAATTTGGTTCTGTTCTGTTCTGTTCCTGCTGTATGACAGAGTATTCCTGGAATAAGCAGGCCACTAACCTCATTACCGACTGCTGGGGAGCTGTGAAAACACAGCCTCTGCCACTGAGGCAACATTTGGTTTTCGATACAGCTATGGGGTTGCTGAGAGGGAATTGGATCATTTCTAGGCAATCTTTCTTGTCCCTTAGGAAGCTGCTGCAGCACAAATGCTCCTTGTGTCCAGATGTGAAGCCATTCAACACCTTTGCAGATCTGGAGCAGCACATGAGGAAGCAGCATGAGCTCTTCTGTTGCAAACTCTGTGTTAAACACTTAAAGGTGAGATAATTCTGGTTCAACATGTGGGAAGGAGGGATGCTTTCTGCAGGAGTCCCTTTGGGGTTGGGAAGAAGGGAATGGCTGAACAGCACCCAGAGTTTCCTTTGTCTGCCTGCATGAGGCCAGTTGCTTTGTTTCATGTCTGTCTTCTTCCATAAACTGATTAATGGAGAAGGCCTGGAGGTTCTCAGTGCATTGAATGTTAAATTAAACCCAACCATATTCAAAACCTTCTGATGCTGGCTCCTCTCCACATGTAAATACCAAACCCCAGTGGTGTGGTGGGAAGTTAATCCTGACTCGTAGGCAGACTTTATCACAACTCTAATGGTGGAGATCTGATGCCTGTTCAGATTTACACTTGTCCCAATTTTAGGAGCTAAAACTGTAACTGAAGGAAGTATTTGGTGCCAGTTCAGGAAGCAGAATGCACCATGGAGTGATGGATTGATTTCTCGGATCAAAGTCAACGTGGCATTTACAGTTAGATCCTGGACAGGATGAGAATCCATCTCACTGCTTTAATGAAAGATAATTCTATTTCATTGTTGTATGTATTTGGTCAGAGCAAATTTCCTGTATCTTGTTGGCCTGATTGGGAAATGAAACTCACTGTTGCCTGCAGTTGAGGTCTCTGTGCACACACAGAACGTGACCAGGGGCTGCTTTAAATGTATTTTACAACCTGCTGAAGATAAAACAGTTACAGGAAAGCTGAGTTGTCAGTGGCTGAAAAGACGATGTGTGTTGAGCCTCAGAACTGCTCATCTTGCCATCACCATCAGCATCCTTTCTTCTTTGTCTTAGTCCCACCCGAATTTCCCTGGGAAGGGCTGGTGTTATGTCACCAGGTGATACTTTTTCACAGTCTCCAAGTCAGAATTCCACTTAGAGCGGAACCTGGAGTGGATTTTGTACTTCTGAATTACACATCAGACAAAATCAGCAGCCACTGCTAAGTGAATTCTGGGACTGGTAACCTCAGTGTCTAATAGCTGTCAGCATTCCTTAGTGTGGGAGGAGGGAATTTAATGCATGAATGCATATATTTAGAATTCATGACACATGGGGTTGTGTGTTTTCTTTGAAACCAATTCAATACCAACCTGTGGAAGTGCCTTTATCCTGCAGTGCCATGGTTGGTTTATGCTGGAGCCGAGCTAGAAGGGACAGGAACCAGAAGTGATCGGGTTGGCCTTGGTTCTTTTTCAGTGGATTGATTTGCCTCTTTCCTGTGGTCCTGCAATCACTGGAGCTAATTCAAGGGAAGTGCTCAGGGGAGGGCAAGGCCACTCCTTTGGGGTGCAGTGTCCTTTGAGCTCAGGTGCTGAGGTGTTTCCATGGGCAGCTGAAGCAGCCAGCGCTGACAGAACACGTTTGCCATTGAGAACTCACAAACTGTGTTAGAACTTGGTTTAATTCCAGTGTGTTGCAGAGATTCTTCTTTCACAGATAGAAAGTTCCCACTGAAAAGAAGCTCTGACACTTGAGCAAAGCCAAGCAAAGCTTTTCGCAGAGCAAGTCACCAGCCCTTGTCCAGGCAAGGGATAAAGGAGGTTCTGTTCTCAAGGCTGTCTTGATCTTTCTGGCATCTTCAGAACCCATCCTACCAAAATAGCTCGTGTGTTGGTAGGGACAGAAGGTTGGCTTGGGTGGTAACACAAGGTTTGCTCCCTCTATCCTTTGCATGTAGCTATCTTGGGGTAGTTGCCGTGTGAGGGAAGTAAAAGAGCTCACTTGTGGTTTATGGGCTTTTTTAGTTCAAATATGCAAAGCACTGCATCTTCATAAAGACGTATTTAGGAGTTTTCCCCATCAGAGATTGTAATTTAGTTTTCTGCACTATGTTAATACAGCAGAAGAAACGTGAAAGGGGAAAAGATGAACCAGGTCTGATTCCAGTGTTCAAACTGAAAAGCAAGTTGGATTTAATCTGGATCTATCACTTGAGTTTTGTGTCCTATTCCCTGAAAGTCTGAGGTGTTGGTTGGCAAATTGCATCCTTCTGAAGGGAATCTTCTTCTCCTGCAAGCAGAGAGGTTGTGCACAGCCCAGCTGGTTCCAGTTAGGTCTCTGTTCCCAAGAAGTAACACATAGATATCTATTTCTCCAGATCTTTACGTATGAACGGAAATGGTATTCCCGAAAGGACCTGGCTCGCCATCGGATCCATGGGGATCCGGATGACACCTCCCACCGCGGGCACCCCCTCTGTAAATTCTGTGATGAGCGGTACCTGGATAACGACGAGTTACTGAAACACCTCAGGAGAGATCACTATTTTTGTCATTTCTGTGACTCCGATGGTGCTCAGGAATACTACAGGTTCGTGCTAGAGCTTATTCCTCTTCCTGCAGCTTAAATACTGAGGGAAAATTCCTTGGATCTGCTTTGGATTTGGGGGGGGAAGAAGTGCTTGGAGACAGAGTGCAGGAACACGAGCAGGTTGGCTGCAGTCTCTTCTGTTCCTCAAACCAACAGCAATCACTTTCTGTCTGTTCATGTTTTCAAGTTGTCTGTGTTAATATTAAACATAAAAAGCTGCATTTTGCAGCATGGCAGCAGCTATCTGCAGCTTAGCGTGTTAACTCTAATGCTCCACAATTCAGTGCAAACCAGAGAGAAGCTTTCTTGTATGAAATACGTCCCTTATGTGCAGCTGGATGGGATGAGTATCGGCCAGTAGGTTCAGGTTAGCTACTGGGATCAGGTATTAGGGTCTGTGTCGACTGTACGCAAGTGGTTGTAGTTGACGGCTTGCCAACCACCATGACTTGTCTTCACCTTTAAGAGGGGGGCCATGCAGCATCCGTAGGGTGTGTTGGGAAGGTTGAACTCGGCCTCTTCTCTTCCTAGTGATTACGAATACCTCCGGGAGCACTTCCGTGAGAAGCACTTCCTTTGCGAGGAGGGCCGGTGCAGCACGGAGCAGTTCACCCACGCCTTCCGCACCGAGATAGACTACAAAGCTCACAAAACAGCCTGCCACAGCAAGAGCAGGGCAGAGGCCAGGCAGAACCGGCAGATAGACCTGCAGTTCAACTACGCTCCTCGGCACCAGAGGAGGAACGAGGGTGAGCGGGGATGAGGTGGACGGGAACACGTTCGTTCGACTGCTTTGAGGGGTTTCCAAGGACATCTGGTGAACGTTTCTGTACAAAGAGGGGGGGCAAGTCCTGCGACAGCACCCTCAGGGGTTGCAGAGGTGGTCCTTGAAGAAGAACTTGAAGGGCCCTTGGCAATCTCATGTTGTGTCAGAGCTGGCCTTGCTTTGGGCAAGGGGATGGAGCGGAGGACACCAGAGGTCTCTCCCTACCTGAATCGTTGCAATTTTTTTCCCCTTTTGTGGATTTAATGAAGATACGTAATTTTTAGGGAAATTTGTGACTTCCTGCTCCAGTTTGTAATTATGTGAATGACTCCTGTTACATTTAACATAAACTTAGTGATGAATGTAGACCATGAGGCCAGAGTGGCATACCCACTTAGGTGTGCAGAGATCAATAGATACATAACTTCTTTGTGGATCTGTATATAGAGAGCTGCATAAAACCAAAATTACTCAAAACTCACCTCACAGGTTACAATAAATCCATATAATGCAAACTGTATTGTAATGCAGCAATCCTGAAGGCTATAGAGACTGCTTAATCATCAGAAAGAAATCAGGATAGACTTGTTTGTACTGGTGTAATTCTGCTTTTTTCAGGTAGGGTGTGATGCCCTGATTAATAACTGAGTTAATGCCCAGATTATTAACTTTTATGCCCAGAGAAATAACTGAGAGTGATCAACCATCCCATCTGTTTAGGTGTTATAAGTGGAGAGGACTATGAAGAAGTTGACAGGTACAACAGGCAAGGGAGGTCAGCCAGGTTGGGTGGCCGAGGAAGCCAGCAGAACAGGAGAGGCAGCTGGAGGTACAAGAGGTGAGTAGCACAGTGTGTGTTTTGCTTACCCATTAACAGTGTTTGGGTGCACCAGTAGGAAGGGAGTGAGTACAAAATTCGGGGGCCTCCCTACTGAATCCTTAGCTGAGAGCAGAACTAGCTTTCAGTCTATGCCTGCGTGCTGACTACGTGCTTGGTCCAAGTGGATTTACTTTGTGCTTTATACATACTACACATCTAGCCTTCTTTTTCTGGCTGGCTCGTTACTGGTGATTCCACTGGTGGAGAAAGTCCATCTCAAACCACTTGTATGTTAGTGTCACGTGTGGATCATGCATGTGTGAAGAGTTCCTGACAAACCATGCTTCAGAGAATTACTGTGGCCTACAAATATGATTTCATATGTTTGAAAATGAATGGGAGAGATGGGTATCCACAAGTACCGTCTCTCAGTTCACCCCAGTTTCTTCTGGCCTGGATTGTTATTAGCACATGTAGAAGGTTGTAAATCCAGGGGGTGAGTGCTGCCTGTCTCACCCATCGGTACTAGGCTTGTTGGAGGCAGTGGGCTTGTTTGAGCCTTCTCAGACCCTGCTCCAGAGCTGACTGGAGAGGTGAGAGCTGGAGTGAAACAAAGCTGCTTGGTGATGCTTAATGCCTGACCAAGAAAATCTGCCCTGTCCTGCAGGGAGGAGGAGGACAGAGACGTTGCAGCCGCAGTCAGGGCCTCTGTGGCAGCTAAACGGCAAGAAGAGAAAAAACGGGTGGAAGACAAGGAGGACAGCAGCAGTAGAGGTAGAAAGGAGGACGTGAGGGATTCCGAGGTGCTCAGCTCCAAACGTGTGCCAAAGGCTTCAAACGATGCCACAGGTTAGTGTGGAGCACGTTGTGCAGCGGGATGGGTCTGGAGATCAGCGTGGTGAAAGCAGGAAATGCCATGCAGGGTTCTCTAAAGCTGGTGGATGTGGATAGAGCTATGCAGACCCTTAATCCAACAACACGGAGTGGTGGTGGAAAGTTTCCAAGTGGGTTGGGATTCCTGCAGCAGGTTATACTTGAAGTGGAGCTGGGTAGAAATCTCGGCTGCAGTTAATGTCCAACAGTGTGTGTGATGTTCCATCCAAATCAATATAGTAAGAATTGCCATTTCCTGCTCTAGCACGTAAGCACTCATTTATTGTGATGCTTGAGCTGAGTTTCTACTTTTTTGGGGGGAACAAGTTATGGTGAAAGCAAACCTTTAACTGGTTTGACCCACGTCCAGTTTGCCCCAGATAGATACAACGCAGTGGTGTTTTGATATTAGTGTTGCTCCAATGCATTTACCACTGGTTTGTTGTTCCTATACCAGGATTTCACTTAAAGATTATATGCTCTAAGTATGGGCTGAGAGCTCTGTGGTTAATGGTGCAGCTCAGCTGGGGATGACAGGCAAGGTTGTCTCTGCCAGTGGCCCGTCCAACCTCTGCTGTGTGCATGTTATCAGTCCACAGCATGGGATTTGGATTCTAAGGCAAATCTAAATGGGAATGAGTTATGTTTCAATATAAAATGACTGCCCAGGAGCTAATTGCTGAGCAGCTTGGGCATCTGTGCAGCAGAGGTGTGATGGACTGCTCCAAGGAGCAGCTTTCCAAACAGAGGAGCATTGGCATCCATCAGGTGGAGCACTGAGGCTCTGATGAACATCCTGACCCTATGCAGGCAGCTGAGTGCTCACTGCTGGCAGAGGGGAGGAACAGGAGTGCTGGGGCATTGGCTTCTTGGTCTGTAGAAGGTTCCCTCACAAAGCACTTGGTTGACACGAACCCTTTGCTCATGTTAAGTGGCATGAAAGCTGCAGGCAGGACAGGGTGACATAATGGTGAATGCACTTAATTGAAGGAAGTGGTGATGCACAGATTGAAATTGTTCCTTTGGAATGTCACCGTGAATGACATCACCAGCTGCTGAAAACAGGACTTGTTAATGCTGCTGTTGCTGTTCATTGATAGCCTCTGCTCCGAAGTGAATGGGTTTGAGTTGAAAACGTCTCTTTGCTCTTTTTGTCCCTGTTTCAAAAGAAGCAGCTGCTAACGGTGCTTTAAGCCGGGATGACTTTCCAGCCATCGGTTCAGCAGTGGGACCTCTGCAAGGGTAAGTCTGGGCAAGGCTGCAGCCAGGAGAAAGCAGGTTTAGGAACTTCCTGGTGTTGTGCACTTCTGGAGAGAGTAATTGTACACAGCACTTAAACCACAAATGCTTCCCCCCTGCCCTGCTCCCTTCTGCCTCGAGCTGTTCTGTGCTGGTCACCCACATAAATGCCAGCAGCTGTTGCTTGATCTTTTGGTGGTGGGAAGTTCTCCATGTTCCCCATTCCAGCCATTGATAAGCTGTAGCTTATCTTGAAGGAGTTAAGGTTCCTCACCTTCTGAAAGGGGTGATGATGAGAGCAGTGTCTCTGCAGGATGTGGCAGCTCAGTTGCACCTGTATGTACAGCTCTCTGTGGTCAAGGTGAGGTGTGCTGTCGTGGTCCTGGTGTCCCAGCAAGAAAACACCCATTCCAGACACTGGTCAAGCATAAGCCTGAGCATATTTGCGTCCTGTAACACTGGGTCAGTTGTGCCACCCCTGAGTGACAGAGGAAGGGCGCAGAGGTCTGGAGCTGCCTGTTGGAGTGGTGCTGTCTCTGCAGCACTGGTGTAACAGGACATGCTTTTCCTCTCTTACAGCTCTTCCCAGCCAGCAGTGGTTAAGCTTAAAGAGGAAGATTTCCCAAGCTTGTCATCCTCTGCAGCACCCACCATTTCTTCTGGCATGTCTTTGACCTATACAACGACTGCAAAGAAAACAGCTTTCCAAGAGGAGGATTTTCCAGCTCTGGTGTCCAAAATGAGGCCTAACAATAAAACAGTAACTAACATTACATCTGCGTGGAACAATGGTTCTAGTAAGAGTGTGGTCAAAGCCATTAGTAACCCCTGTGTAAATCAGATAGCCAAAAAACCCTCCTCCTCCTTGAACAGCACTAAAGGAAGCAAGAAGAGCAATAAACTCCCGCAGTCAGACGATGAAGACGGCGGTAGTGGCCTGACAACCCAGGAGATCAGAAACACACCAACCATGTTCGACGTGTCGTCCTTGCTGGCTGCTTCTACCTCGCAAACCTTTACGAAAGTGAGCAAGAAGAAGAAGGTGGGGGTTGAGAAGCAGAGCCCATCGTCCCCACGCCTGTCACAGGAGACAGCCTTCCCCAGGGCATCCACTGAAAAGCTGCCAGAAGCAGAGCACACCTCAAGTGCTCTTCACAACCCTGACAGACCCACAGCCATCGTGAATGGTCACTCAGAGAAGCCGTTAGTGGTCTGTAGCACACCCAAAGAGCCCCCTGGCCTTAAAAAGCCCACAGTGACTAACAAATGCCCTTTACCTCAGGAAGACTTCCCAGCTCTTGGGAGCTCAGGATCAGCCAGAATGCCCCCACCACCAGGTAAGCGCTCCAGGGCACGGTGAGCTTTGCTTGGAGGTAGCTGAGAGAAGTGCGGGATGTGGATGAGACACAAACTGTTCCTCCTGGCTCTGTGTGAGGAGCAGCTCTGCCACCATGTCTAGGTCAGGCTTTGAAGTTAAAAAAGGCAGCCTGGGGGACGTAGAAGAGTTTGAATGTCCTCTGTGAATCATGGGTGAAGCAGTGGCAATGGTGGGAGGCTCTGAGGTGTCTGCTCTCTGGGAGTGCTCACACATGAGCAGCCTTTACCTGTCGCTGCTTTCTGAGTCATGACAGACACATCTGTGCCGCTCTGCTTCACCAGCGAGGTTGGAAGCCCCTGCAGGCAAAGGGCATCTCAGTGCCTGTGACCAGTGCCTGCTGGCACTTGTCACTTGGCTTCCTTGGTCGGCTTCCTTCTGTGCTTGCAGAGATTTAATGCCCTTGCTATAATCATGTAGAGCTGGAGTAACACAGCATCAAACATGACTTTTACAATGGTTCTGATGAAAGCAGCCCATCAGGAGATGCTGCTGCTGCTCTGCAGATACTGCTACAGCACACACTGCCTCATGCTGGGGTGACTTCTGCAGTCACTTCACTAGTGCAAAAGTGCTTTTCATTGTGAGTTTGGGTGTTTTGATATTATTTTCTATTGAAAAGGTAGATTAATAATTAAAGCATTTTCCCTGCTGGGCAGTGCTCCTTGACCTGGCTGTTAAGGCAGCAGATTGCCACCTCTACTTTTCAGGTTTCTTCCAATAGAGATGCCTGCAGGACTTAGTCCTTCTGGAGAGTGCACCAGCCCACTGGAGGTGATTGTAGATGGTGGTGCTCTAACTTCCTGCCCCTTTTCTGCTTTCATTTAGGCTTTAACACTGTGGTGCTATTAAAGAATCCTCCTCCACCTCCAGGACTGTCGGTGCCTGTTAGTAAACCCCCTCCAGGTTTTGCTGTTATTCCATCCACCAACATCACTGAACCTGTCACTACGTCTTTGAAAGAGTAAGTAGAAATCCTTTGGGGTAGAGTTGCTTTCCACATTACATCTCTGTTCTGTTCTGTGGGCTTCAAACAACGCATGAAACACTCTGAGGGGAGTAATTCAGAGCAGGTCCTGACATAGGCCAAGGCTTCCTGATTCCCATTGGGAGTCCTGTGGCTGCTGGGGGCTGGATTCAGGAGAGCAGTGGAAAGGGAAGCACAGGCATTGTGTGGAGGCAGATCTGAGGGGATGAAAACCTGCACAAAGGGGCAGCTCAGACCCGAGTCCATTCTAGATCTGAATATCTGCAGCTTCAGGGTATTTCTGAGCCTTTCCAGTGACTGCGTCTGAGGCCCAGGAGCGAGGAGCTGCAGCCCATTCTCCTCAGTGACCCCTAAATGCCTTCGTTGCTCTGAGCTTTCCAGGAGCTGGTCTCCGCTGGGGTAGAGAGATGAGTTCATGGGGAAGATTGGTGTGCCTTTAATAGAGACATCTGCATTGATCTGTTTGGGTTTAGTCATGGTGCAGTCTTTGTTGCTCAACGTCTTTTAGTGACCCTCGCTTACAAAGCTGCTACTCAAAGCTGTGTGTTAAACTTGCATTTTCAATACTGTCTCCAGGCAGAGCTGGAATCTGATCCAGTAATCCCACAGGATGCATTTCATTGTCCTGTTAAGGCAGCTTTGTGCTGCCAGCAGCAATTGCATGTGTAGTTGGGTGGAGAAAAGGGATGCATCTTATGGAAGAGACCATCCATGTAATATATATCTTGTGTATGTGCTTGGAGCAAGCTGCTCTAGTGGAGGCTGTCCCTGCCCATGACAGGGGGCTGGAACTGGATGAGCTTTACGCTCCCTTTCAACACAAACCAGTCTTAGGAGCCTATATTATGTTCTGTATCTTTGTATGGCACGAAGCAATGTCAGAGTCACTTCTGGTCTTCCCAGCTCCAGGCCAAAATCCTGTCACGGCTCGTACCTGATACCTGAGAACTTCCAGCAGAGGAACATCCAGCTCATCCAATCCATTAAGGAATTCCTGCAGAGCGATGAGTCCAAGTTCAATAAGTTTAAAACTCACTCGGGGCAGTTCAGGCAGGTGAGTGAGCAGGAGCCCCCCGGGGGCTGTGCAAGGGGTGAATCCCACTGGGGCTTTCATACATCCGTGCCTTCGGTTTTCCTGTCCCCTCATTAATCCAGCTCTGTTTCCACCCAAGGGTCTCATTTCTGCAGCCCAGTATTACAGAAGTTGCCGGGAGCTGCTTGGGGAGAACTTCAGGAAGATCTTTAGGGAGCTGCTGGTGTTGTTGCCGGACACGGCGAAGCAGCAGGAGCTGCTCTCTGCCCACAACGACTTCAGACTCAAAGAGAAACCAAGCTCCAGCAAACCCAAAAAGAACAAAAGGAACGTTTGGCAAACGGACTCCAACTCCGAGCTCGACTGCTCCATCTGCCCGACGTGTCAGCAAGTGCTGACCCAGCAGGACGTTGGCACCCATAAAGCTTTGCATATGGAGGACGAGGAGTTCCCGTCCTTGCAAGCCATCAGCAGGATCATCAGTTAGCTTTCCCGGTGACCAATAAAGCAGGCTCTGCCTGGGGAGGTGTGCTCCTTGGGAGGAGCTTTGGCAGCGTCGCACGGCCCAGAGCCGGGGCTGGATTAGTCACACGCCGGGAAACCACCGCTGGAGAGCCCTCGGGGTGCTCCACAATGCAAAGGGATCACGGGACTGCGCCGGAGCTGAGGAGCAGCCCAAGTCTGAGCTTCCAAAATGCCTGAGTAGAATTAGGCTCCAAGCGCCGGGTGGGCAGGAAGGGGCCACCTTCCTCCTCTAACATGCAATAGCTGGGGAAAATACTCTCTGATCTGAAGACTGGCAGGGGACACCATAGGGGAATGAGCATCTGGTTTGGGGGTTTTCTTTCTTTACTGGGGGGCTCTGGGGGAAGATTATGAATTACTGAAATAACAGACACAAAAGTGGCTTCCTTTATCATCTTTTCTTCTTGTGCTGCTTGTGTGACCACAAGGATCACAGCAGGCAGGGGCACGGAGGGCCAGAAGAGATGCTTCTCGCTGGTGTTAAGCCCCCAACAGCCACGTGAACAGCAGGAGCAAACCATTCCTGTCTGAAACCAGAATCCATTCTGCTGCTTGAAGAAGGGGACCGATCAAGTGCTGAGCTGAACGGGAAGACCTGAAGTTGCCTCTGCCCTTTTACCTCCCCTGTTCTTTACAGAATCTTCTTTTGTAGCACTGCATGTAGAGTATTGCTGAGGCTTTACCTCCTGTAAAGCACTTCACAGGGGTTTTATTTAACGACTGCCATGTTCCTCCTTTCTTGCCTGTATTAATGGTGGGAGCTCCAGACCACACAGCGCGTTGGGCCATTAAATGCTGCTGATCACTCACCGTGTTCATCTGCAGTGCCTTGAAGTGCATTTCTCTGGTTCCAGTGCTCCGTGCTACCCAAGGATCATTCGTCCAGCTTGGCCCTGCCTGGGTGCCACCGCTCTGGAGCAGCTTTGCTTTCATTGCTCAGCATCCCTTAACTCCACCGCTCGCAGCCAAGAGGGGAATCTCTTCGTGCTCTGAAGTTCCTCCTCCTCCAGCAGCAGCGGGTGCCAGGAGCCCTCCCTCAGTAGCTGTACCTCAGTGTCTGCCTCTGCCCCATCCCTCCAGACCAGGTTTAGTTCTTTATAACACGTAGGAATAAAGATGAGATTAATTTATGTAAGTTTTAGTGACAAAACACTGCTTTTCTTAAGCATCGTTTCCATGACATTGAGCTTGGAGCGTTCCGAGAGCTACACGAGGTTCTCCTTGCCTTATCCTTGGTTTTTTCTGCTTGCTGCAAAGTGCTTTTGTTTTTTTCCTGGATAATTTAAGACTCTTTAGGATACCTGGATGTGCTGCGTTCAGCACAGGGGCCCTGGAATGGGCTGGGGAGGGTTCTTTGGCTGCATGAGACGCATGAGTGTGTGACAGGAGCTCTGCTCCCATTGCTTCCTTCACTTTGGGAAGTTCAGGGGAGCTTTTCTCACCTCTTCCCTTGCTTTCCAGTTCATTTCCTTATCAGCAGCCACTATTCCCCCTTGGCTGTACCTTTCCTTGAGGATCAAGCTCCACTTCCCTTGCTCCTTGTGCCCACCTGATGAAATAAAAGATGACCACAGGTTTTTTTCCAGGCTGCTTCGACTGGGTTTTAAAGTCTTTATTGAAAATAAGTTGCAGTGGGTACACGGACACTGGAAATCCATCATCACAGCTTGTTCCCCCAAAAGATAGCTTTATATATATATATAATATATACAAAAGTTGTAAACATTTGTAACTTGGTTCCATACACTTGATACTACACCGCACATAGTGACAACTGCACCTCCTGGAAGCGGACTGCTCACACAGAGGTATCTGCAACCCCAACCTGACATCGGCAAACCCCGTTTGGCATCGGTCTGATAGGAAAACTCTTGAGGAAGGAGAGGTGTAAATACCTCTTGCAGCTAAGGACCAGCGGCTGAACGGGGCGTTCAGGTTGATGCAGTGAGGGCTGAACTGAGGGTGGGAAGGGGGTGTTCTGTCACACACACAGGTTCAGATGCTGCCTAGAGGAGCACAAGGAAGGAGCAGGAGCAGCCCTGGCTGCTCTCCCAACACACTTTGGGAAAGCAAAGGCTGGAAGGAAGCCTACAGATACCTACAGGAGCTTTTCCTGAGGGAAAGGCTGAGCCCACCACAGTCGTGATGTGATTTCCTAGGGAGCGGACCATGACAGCGCTTGGCTTAGTAAGTGACCTTGCAGCCACAAAGGGGTGGCTGCAGAGGGAGGAGGCTGTGAATCCTCCCATAAGGAATTGCTGGTTAACAGAAATGGAAAGGAAATGCTGGAATCATCACTGAGCTGATAGGGAACTCATCCTGCAAGGGGTGCAGGCGCTGGAAGCCCAATGGCCTGTAGGCAGGACAGCAAGGAGGGTCTGCTCAAGCTGCATGATACAGAGCCATTTAATGCAGGTACTAAGTTCTCAGTCAAACAAAGCTTCCAGCTGGGCAGGAATAGCTGAAAATGTTGGGAAAAATCCAGTAACTTTCAAAGCTCTTTAATATGCTTCAAATAAATGCACAAAGCCCATGCTGGGGTTAACTTTGGGAATTGCGTTGTCACACTGCCAGCATGAGGCCATTTGAAGACCCATCTCCAGGGAGGGTCCAGGCTGGTTTGAACTCTGCTCCTGACACCCAGGCTCAGCACCAGGCAGCTGGGATCAGCACAGCCCTGCCCTGGCACGCTGGAGAGCTCCAGGAGAGCCAAGGGGCCATGGGACAGCACAGCCCTGGTATCCCTTTAGGCCATGGTGTGGATGGTGACAAGGCAGGCAGTGCTGCTGTACCAATGCAAGCGTGCAGGGGGGTAAAGAAAGGGGAGAGGGAAGTGCAGAGATGGATGTCACACATACTTGCAGCTCAGGTAATGCACCACAGTTATCACAGCGATGGGCCCAGCTCTAACTGTAAGGTTGTGTGTGGTCACAGGCTGTACCTGTGCACACCGGTCTGCCTGACAGGTCACAACACGATGATGGGTGACAGCAACACCCAGCACGGCAGGCGTGGGTGCTGTGGGAACTCGTGGAGAGCCCGGCAGGAGGACTCCATGCAAGGGATGTGCTGTGGTACCACAGTGATGATGGCTTGTCCCGTCCTGCCTCAATGGGCTGATGGTGGAAAGCACTCAGCTGTGGGCTGCCTGCCTGTACCGGCTGCCTGCCTGTACCTGCTGCCTGCAGAGCAGCCTGATCCTTCCCATATACCTCGCTGGGATGCTGTCCCCCTCCACCAATGGGGACTGATGTTCTGGAGGGTAAAGCTTCCTCAAGGTGCCTGTTAATGTGGTTGGACACGTTATTCCCAGCTCCCATTTAATAAAGGAGCAATCCTGCCTTCCTGCTGCGCTTGGATGCTCAAACCCCTTCCTCCTTCTCCTCCTCCTCTTCTGCCAGCAAAACACATCCAGGTCCTCACTGCCACTTACAGGTGGTTGAACGCTGCCTTTGGGGAGCCGTGATTGCTGCTGACTGCAGACACCTGGACTCATCCCATGTCCCCACTGCTGCTCCCAAGGTCAGTGATGGCACAAGAGCGTTCACTGGGAGGGGGTGTGTGTCCCTTCTGGTCCCCACCGGCAGAGGATGGGAGCAGGTTGGGGGGGGAAAGAAAGGCAACGCAGGCCTTGGTGCGTACATTCAGAGCTTGTAATATTGAGCATGGGTACACCAGGGGGCAGGAGGCATCCAGCCCTCAGACAGAGCTTTAGTGGGTTACGGTTACAAGGAAACTCTGGAACAGGTATATAGTTAGAAAACTACAAGGTACCGAACAGACATTACCTCACGTACAATCAATTTAAACACTTAAATTGATTCTATTGTTGCTAAAATATTAACACAAGTTACTGGTTGTGCTGCTAAAACGTCAGTGTTCCCTCTAAGGAAAATATTGCTACGGTTCTACCGTACCCTGTATTAAACCCCTTTGCCTCTCTTTAGCTCCCAGCAAATCTGACTCTAGAAACATCCAAAGGGTCTGGTTTAGATGGACCCTCATTTAGGGTTCTATTTAGGGTCCAATATATTTAGGCTTATAGAATATTGGGGTTTGGGTGTCCCTGGTTTGCTTCATGCAAGGATCTGGCACCGGTCACCTCTTCCTTGCCCCTTGCATGAGCCAAGCAAGGGACACCTCTGATAAAGCAGAGCAGCATCCCCTGCTCACGCTCCTGCCTCTGCCCAATGCACCCCAATAGCTTTTGGGCCTCCAAGGGGGTGCAGAGCTCCATAGGGGAAGGCACCTCCTCTGCTGTCCCTGCGGGGAAAGCCCACGGTGGGGACCGCTGCAGGATGCAAGGTCCTGGTACCACCACACATGGGGAGGCTGCAGCAGCGTGAGAGGAGGATCCAGGTTGGGAAACACTGCCTGGAATATCCCAGTGCGGCTCTGGTGCCACCAGGGAAGAGCTCAGCACCAGCCTGGCTGGAAATGCACATTTAGCCCGGCCTGAACGGTGCTCAAGGAACGCACTTGGTCACTGGAAATGACCCCTCGTGATGGAGTCGCTGTTGTTAATGGATGCAGCAGAAAGGAGCTGTGCTGATGATGACCAGAAACCTGCTGCAGGCAGAGCTGGGGCCAGTGGTCGCCAGGTCAGGAAGCAGTACACGGCTCCTGCCCTCCTCTAAGCATGGGGCTGGGATTCAAGTCTCAGCTCCTCTGCTCAGTCCTTAGTGACAAACAGCCACCAGTGAGGCAGGGAGAGCAGGCAGGGAGCTGACAGGGACCTATTGGGCTTTACACACTTCTGCCAAGGCAGGAATTTCACAGCTGAATCCAAACCTGAGCCTCTTTCCTGGGAGCTTTTCACTCCCTCTTTTCTCCCACTGCTTCCAAACCCGGGGTCCCCTCACAATGGACTTCAACAGCCTCTAAAGCCTTTCCAGTTCACCTGAGTTCCTCATTTCTGGAGACAAGGGCACAAGGAACGTTCCCACCTGAGGTTCTGCTGCAGCTGATGACAAACAGCGCCCGCTCCCAGTCTGAAAACACAAGTTCAAGACTGCTCCTGATTGCACTGGGCTTTGAGCTGCTGAGGCCTTTGTGCTGGCAGCTCTGGGTCTGAGCACAGTTAAGTGCTCTGCGTTGCCAACCAGAAGCCATTAGTACAGCTACAAACTGTCCCAGCCCCTCGGGGAAGAAGTGGAACTGCAGCACACAGCTATTTGCTGCTGATAAAAGCCTGTTCCTAACAAGCAGCCACCTATTGCTGAGCTGGTTTCCAGCTTCCAGCAGCCGCTTTTGACATCCTCAACCAGAGCCCTGTTGAAGCGCAGAAGCAAATGGGATGTTCCCCACAGCCCCAACCTGCCACGTGCCACTGGCATCCTAAGCTAAGGGTGAGCCACTTGGCGTGGAGATGACTCTGTACAGCAGCTATATACAGATGAAGGGGACACAGACACCACTCATCTCTCTCTGTGGGTTTGGTCCCTGCCATGGAACGTGTACAGGAGAGCTCTGCGGTGGGAGCAGCACGGAGCTGACCCCCCCTTCGCCACCACGAGATTCTGTGTTAGCTCTGGAAGAACGAGATAAGTAACAGCTCTTCAGCTACTGTGTTGGACAGGAGAAGGTGTCCCAGGCACGGCCCGGTGCCAAGCCTCAGGCAGAGGTTTCCTCATCGTTCGCCACGCGGAGGTGATGCGGTAGCAACCTTCCTTCCTTCCTTCCTTCTGACTTAGAGGGAACACTGCTTTTATAAAACCCTTGGACAGGTAAGACAAGAACCAATACCACTGTACAGAATCCACTGCACAACTAGCTAATAGTAAGGAACCCAGCACTGACTTGCCACATGAAGGAAATGGGACTGAATACATTTGCAATCGACCGGCTCAGGGTACGGCACCACAGGACTCGCCCCTCAGTACGCTGGCACTTGGTAACCTTTCGGGTTGGTGTCTAAGGTCTCGGTGAAGGGGGGGCTCTGGTAGGTGTCTGTGCTCTCCACGCCGCTGCCGCTGGGGTAGCCGGGGTAGGGAGCGCCGGGCTCGGCGCCGAACTGATCCGTGGCAAAGAGCGACATGTCCGTCCCCAGGCGGTACCGCTGCAGCGCCTTCACCGCCAGCGCCACCTGCGGCGAGGGGCCAGGGTTAGGGGGGATGGAACCCACCTCCACCAGGGTCCTGCGGCCCACAGGACCCCACATTCCCCACCAGAACCCCACATTCCCTCCCAGGATCCTGCATTCCCCCCCAGACCCTGCATCCTCCAGGATCCTGCATCCCCCCGGACCCTGCATCCTCCAGGATCCTGCATCCTCCTGGACCCTGCATCCTCCAGGATCCTGCATCCTCCTGGACCCTGCATCCTCCAGGATCCTGCATCCTCCTGGACCCTGCATCCTCCAGGATCCTGCATCCTCCTGGACCCTGCATCCTCCAGGATCCTGCATCCTCCTGGACCCTGCATCCTCCAGGATCCTGCATCCTCCTGGACCCTGCATCCTCCCGAATTCTGCATCCTCCTGGACCCTGCATCCTCCAGGATCCTGCATCCTCCTGGACCCTGCATCCTCCAGGATCCTGCATCCCCCTGGACCCTTCATCCTCCAGGATCCTGCATCCCCTCCCAAGGATGCTGCATCCCACAGGACCACACATTCTGGGGAGACCTTACTGCAGCCTTTCAGTTCTTAAAAGGAGCCTATAAGAAAGATGGGGAAAGACTTTTCAGCAGGGCCTGTTATGATGGGATGAGGGGTGATGGTTTTAAACTAAAAGAGGGAGAGGGAAAAGTTCTTTACTGAGGGTGGTAATTCTTCAGTAAGGGTGGTAAAACACTGGCCCAGGTTGCCCAGAGAGGTGGTGGCTGTGCCATCACTGGAGACACTTAAGGCTGGATGTGGTTCTGGGCAACCTGAGCTAGGTGAGGATGTCCCTGCTCATTGCAGGGGGTTGGACTCAATGATCTTTAGAAGGTCCCTTCCAGCCCAAACTATTCCATGATTCCATGATCCCCCAGCTCCCTGCAAAGCTCTGAGCATATCCGAGCATCCCAGATCATTGCTGGCCCTGCTCCATTATAGCCAAGAGCTAAAGCAAGCCCAGACCACAACCCTTAATGCTAAAGAAGATGTTTCTGTGTGACAGGTTGACCTCCAAAGCCCTGTGTGGGGTTGCAGCCTGTGCTCCAGTCCCTGCCTGTGCCGATTTGGCACCAGTAACCCCATCTGCTGCTGGGAGGGAAAGCAAAATAGGTCAGTTCTGCCGAGACTCCTTCACCCTCTTCCAGGTTGCTGAAATTGAGGTCACAAAGGGTGGGAGAAGCGGCGGCAGAGCTGTGAGCACCCCACGCTCATCCCAGTTCTGGAGGTTTCATTAACAATTCAATTAGTTTATAAATGATGGGCTCAGGGGGTGGAAAAAACCACTCAGACACTCAGAGCAGCTCCCAAGCACTGCCCAGAGCCCACTGCCCTGCTGGGGCTGGTGCCAGGGGGGCAGGCACTGGTTGATCCCAATTGCTCCTGGCTTTATTCATGGTGCCAATGGAGGGGCTGCTGCTGGCTCCACACATCCCAAACATCCTCCATGCTGGCAGCAGGGGACCAGCATCCCCAGTGGCCTCCCTGGGCTGGGAGCAGATGCTGATGGGATGGGGGAGAGCATCCTCCCCAGTCCCTGGGGGCTGCAATGCAGCATGAGAGAAGAGCTGTGGGGGAGCTGGGATTACAAGGGATTTAGTTGGATAATAACAGTGGGGAGCAGTTGAACTGGTGAGTAACTGGAGCCAGGCTGGCAGCTGGAAAGCCTCAGACTGGCTTTTGCCCCAGTTCCTTTAAGGCAATGTGGGATTGGTGCACATCTTGGGTGCTCTCTGCCCATGAAAAGCTGGAAGAGAGGGATGGAGGCCATCCCTGCTTCTCCACATGCAGCCCCAGGAGCAGTGCAGCTATCCCCAGTATCACAGGACAAGGGGCCCTGCAGGGTTTTGCACCCGTGGCAGATGTCCCTGTGCCACAGGGGGTGCACAGAGCCAAAAAGTGGGAGCAAGTCCTGGCAGCAGGAACCAGCCTGGCTTCCCCCGGGGGTGAGCTGGTGGGCCGAGAGCTCCCCACATCCCACTCCCATCCCATGAGACCAGCTCACTGCAGTGATCTGCTCCTGGGGACTCATTCAGTTCCAACCAAGTGGCTCCCAGGGCCCCGAAACGAGGGCAGCTCATGGCTGCTGACACGTTTTCAATGGGAACACAACTTATCCGCTGCAGGACAAGGGGAAGTGCGGAATTCCCCCGCGAGAGGGGACGGAGCTGATCTTCCCGGGTACCAAACCGCAAGTTCCGTCTCTATCTGCAGGAGCACAGAGTTCCCCAGAAGAGCCCCGCGCTGCCCACCAGGATTCACTTCCCCAAACCAAGCCCCACATTCCCCCTCCAAGCCCTTGAGCCCAGAGCAGGTTCAGTTTGTGCCCTCCTCTGAAGCCGAACTCACCCAGACGATGATGGAGAAGAAGGAGAAGGTGATGGCTGCCCGGGCAGCGTCTGCTCCTTGCGAAACCCCTATGCTCATCGTCGTCCGTTGCCACTGGTTTGCAAGGAAGCAGAAGGCTACAAACCACAGGAAGGACAAGAAACCTGGAAGAGAACAGAGCTGCTCAGTGCTGTCCCTGCCCCGAGCCTCCCCAGCTGCCAGGACCCCGTGTGCTGGTGCACAAACACCTTGACATCAAAGCAGCAGTGATTGATCCTGGGTGCCTTGGCCTGTGGTGGCCCAAAGGAGCTGCTTTAGATGAGCCTGATTTGGGATTGCTGGAAAAACAGGGAGGGAAGGAACCCTGTATGGTCACCCAGTGTGTTACCTGCCTTAGGTTCAGCTTGCCTACATCTCACCCTGATCCCTGCAGCAACAGCACAGCCTTCCTGGACATGGGATCTCAGCCTGCTCACTGGTGTCAAGGTGCTACCAGCTCACTTCCAGTTCCAGCACCCCAGTGTGTCAAACTCACCATTCCTTCTATTCCCTGTTCCTTAAAGACTTTGCACTGGATCCTGCAAACCTCACCCAGGAGGAAGCCTGCACTCCTGGGAGCAGCACCAGCAGGAGACAGTGCTGTGATGGGCCATGCTTTGGTCCAAGGACACAGCCAGAATGCTTCAAAAAGGCAAGTCACAGTCACCCAGGAATAGGGACGGGCTGGGATTAAGCCCTGCTCCCAACCCCTGCTCCCAGGGATCAAAGTGACCTGGGATGTCCGTGCATCCCAACAGCACAGCTCGTTGTGTGTCACTCCCTGGGGCAGGGATGTGGGGGAGCTGCCCATGGAGCTGAGGGACACACGGGCTTCATGTGCCAGAGCTCTGCTCATCCCTGCTGCCCTCCACTGACTCCTCCTGTCCTCAGTTCCCTGGGCTCTGTGGGACTGAACAAAACCTCCCTGCTGATGACTCCTTACTGGCAGCCAATCTGGCTGAGCAAGGCAGGGCTGCAGCTCCCCTAATTCACTCACAGCCTCCAGCACTGCCTGATGCCAAGGAGCTCAGGAAACAAGTCAAGAAGCAAGGCACAGGCACACAAGTGTAAGGAGCAGTGATGTTCTCCAGCGCTGGGAAGAGGAGCAGCACAACCTGGAGCTTTCACTGATGCTGTTTTAAGGCTCTCCAGCTTTCCTGAGCATCCCTGGCACAAAGGCACAAAGAATCTGGGTGTTCAGGCACCGGGATGCTGAGCAACCCAGCACCTTCCCAAGGATCATCAGCACATCAGGATGAGCAGCCACACTGCTGGTCCCGTGGGGCAGGCAGCTGCAAAGCACAGTCTGACTGCAGGGAGAGGAAAGAAGCTTCCTTTATTCCCCTTGATCTTGCCACTTGTTCCTAAGTGCAATATAAGATGCACGAGTGCATCCACATCCAGTGTGAGTTACAGGGCTCTCTGCACCCCCACCACTGGTGCAGTGCTGCAGCCTGGCCCCGGGGCAGAGCACAAGCCCTGCACAGCACATCAGCAGCTCTGCAGGGCAGAACTCATCCTCCCCAGCTCGCTGCTGAAGCCGCAGATGCGTACCCGTGACAAGCACCAAAGGGAAAGAAGGCAGAGATGGAGCACGGTGCTGGTTCCCACATGCCTGGCAGGGAGAGAAGGGCTGTTTGGAGGGGGAAGGCAGGATCCTCACACCATGACACACAGCATCAGCCACAAGATGGATGCGATGTTCCCCTTCCGTCTGAATCAAAGGGTTGCAGGCACTGAGCCCCATGGAAGGGGCTGTAAATATCCTCTAACAGCGCTCCAGCACCGTGGAAATGAGCTTTCCAGCAAGGAGAGAACATCCTCAACAAGAGGGGAGCAGAGGGAGGCGATGACGGCTGTTTTCATTTGGGGCTGGAGAGCCATCAGCAGCGCTGGTGCTGGATAAATCACCTTCAGGCTTCACTAACACCAGAGCCTGGAACCGGAGAACATCAGCTCAAGCTCAGGCAGGTGATTCCCCCAGCAGCAGAGCGGAGGATGGCTCTCCTGGCTCAAGGCATCCTGCGTGGATGAGCCCCTGGCCGAGGGGCTCAGGACAGCACAGAGGATCTGTGCCAGCCTTTGGGACTCCCAGCCCCTCCGGTCCTGGAGGCAGTGAGGGATTGCAGTGGTATGGAGTGTTCCTGCTTTGTTCCAAAACACACGCACTAAGTGAACACAGACCCGGATGTAACCGATGAAACGACCTCTACGTGAGCCAGAAACAGGGACGTGGCAGGGGAAATTGCCCTGTCTGGTCTCTGAGGTGTGAGCACCAAGCCTCACTTCTGTGGGTGGCCTCACTGAAAGCAGCTCACTGAACATCTCCAACTGGAGACACGACACGGACCAGTGGGACACCCACTGTCCCCAAGCCACCACACACTTGCTTTCCCCACTGCTGCCTCGGAGCTCATGGCTGGATGGGACAACCCATCTGCCACCCCTCTTCTCCCTGTCAGAGGCACACGAATGGTGCCGTGCCATGGACTCAGGCGTGGAGCTGCAGGGCACAGCAACAACCCCGCACTGCCCATGGAGCCAGCATCATCCTTGAGGAGCCAGCAAAGCCAGAGGTACCTGAAAAGCCGAGGTCCAGCAGGACGGCGCGTTTGCGGTCCTTCACGCTGCTGATCTGCTGGAAGTAGAGGTCCACCACAAAGAAGAAGATGCAGCCGAAGAAGGCGATGATGCCAACGGCGATGCCGTAGCTGCAGGCACTCTCATTCTCATTGAAGATGCAGTGCAGCACGGGGGTCTGGCTGTCCTTGTTCACGTAGCACTCGTTCACGATGGAGCCAAACACCACGATGGAGAAGATCTGCAGGAGGAAGGAGAAAACACAACTCGCTGCCGCTTACGTTGAACTCTGTTTCCCAACAGCAACGTAATTGGATTCAATCTTGTCTTTGACTCCATGGCAACGTGGCATTTGTTAGACAGATCCTGACTCTCATCTGGTTGGTGGCCCTGATGAATGAGCTGGTGGATGGTACCAAGGTCTTCCTTCCCTGCGAGCCTGGCTGCCTTTCAGTGGCTTCATTTGCAGGGTATTGTAAGAGATGTTGTTCCCAGAGAGGCTGGGGAGGGAAAAAATAGATGGGCCGAGGCTCTGCTCTCCACTGTCAGGCTGTGCTCGATAAACCCCCTTGTGTCACTGCAGAGCAGGGAGAAATGAAGCTACAGAGGATAACTGAGCTGCTATCCAGCCCTGGCCCAGAGAAGGGACAAGGACACGGCAGCGTGGGGAGATGGGAACGGCACCCTCAGTGCAGTGGGGCAGGGGACAGGCTGCCCCATGAATGGCAGGGCAATAATGGTTGGACTTGATGATCTTAAAGGTCTTTTCCAGCCATGATTCTATGATTTCTCACCTGGCTCAGCAGGGGTTGAAGGAAGCAGCGTCTGCAGCCATTATCCAGTGAGCTGGTTTTGGCCCTAAGAGGGACAGGGGGGTTGCTGGTGGTCCCATTGCTGGGACCTGAGGGTGTTTCACATCCCTGTAGGCAGGAAGGAGCCGGCTGGCTGCCTCGATGAACACCAATCCTGATGCTGCACGCTGAAGTCATTCCCTTATCTCCCAGCACCAAGCGGACGCTGCGGGAGCAGCTGCATTACGATTTGCTCCGGAGCCTGCTCCATTAAAGCCGCGACGCTGCTGGATTCCAGCGCTGGGAGCAGGGAGGGAGCCAGGCTGCAGAGCCCCCTCCTGCAAGCTGGGAACCTCTGATCTCATCCCTCGCTGCCAGCACCGGCTCCCTGCATCCCTGCACGCCCGCAGGACACAGCCGGAGGCCTCATATGCAGGCAGGGAGACAAGAGGCTCCCCCAGGATGCCACTGTGGCTACCTGGGAGCATGGGGTTTGGGGTGTGATACAGCTCCTGCTCGGGACGCCCTGCTGCATCTCCTGAAGGGGCACGAGACTGAGACAGGCGACAGACAGAGGCAGAAGAGCCACAGGAGAGACTGCAGCTGGAGGCCTTTGCAAAGTCACCTGCACCTCGTGGCTGATGCCTGGCTACGGGCCACCTCCTACAGCCCCACACTCCTCATAGCACTGTGTTAGCAGAAGGCACTACGAGCAAACCCTTCAGAAAGCTCTTTAATGTAATGTGGTGATAGAGATTTACTCCCAAGCACATGCCAAATGTCTCAATCCTGCCTGCCCTGAGGAATTTCATTCAGATTTCTCTCCTCCAAACTCCTTTCAGCGCTGGGATGAAGCTGAAGCTTCTCCTGTCTGAAGTTACTTCCAAACGCAAGCATCCCCATTAACAAACACCTCTCAGACCGTCTCCACTGAGTCTCCTCCAAGCTGGAGAACAAACAGATGGCTCTGCAAGGGAGACTTCCCTCCTAGAAATGTGGGATTCCAAATGTGCATCTGCAAAAGCCAGGTGCAACCTTTGATTTCATCTGGACCACCAATAGCGACAGAAAGTACATATGTCCCATGGACCTCCCCATGGCTGCACAAGGAGATAACCAGACCTTCCTCCTCTTGGAATTTAACCATGCCCCAGGTCCTGTTCCCCTCCATCCCCACCTCATCTCAGCTCCGAGCAGCAGCCATGAGCCTGATGGCAACCTGAGTCACCCACTTCCCTTGCACCCTGCTCCTTGCTGGCGCTGCACCCAGGGAGCACTGGGCTGTCACACCGCGACGGGCACATCATCCTCATCACGCTCAGAACAAGAGGCTTGCATTGTAAGGAGGAACAACAACAAACAGTAATAATCATTTTCCCAGGGCTTTGGCAGCAGCTGTAATATCAGCAGTTGTAAAAATCTGTTCATAAATAATGCAAAATTGTTATTTACCATCAGAAATAGCAGCAGCATTTATAAAACAGGCCCTGGAAGAAATAATGTGATTCTGGAAAACATGAATAATTGAGAACCTCTGATTCCATGGGATTATTTCTCTGGCAGGCCACAGAACTTGTGCTCAGCTTCTGCAAGTGCACACTAAGTGTTTTACTTAGTCATAGAAGCACAGAATCGTATGGTTTGGGTTGGAAGGGACCTTAAAGCTCATCCAGGGACACCTTCCACTGGAGCAGCTTGCTCCAAGCCCTGTGTCCAACCTGGCCTTGAACACTGCCAGGGATGGGGCAGCCACAGCTTCTCTGGGCACCCTGTGCCAGCGCCTCAGCACCCTCACAGGGAAGAGCTTCTGCCTAAGAGCTCATCTCAGTCTCCCCTCGGGCAGGTTAAAGCCATTCCCCTTGGCCTGTCCCTACATCACTTGTGCAAAGCCCCTCTCCAAGTCCTCCCAGGATTAACTGGATTGCTTCTCTGTGCTTTCAGGTGCTTATCGGGAGCTCACAGTTTCAGTGGGTGAGGGAGGGCTCTGGTAAATTAAAGATTAAGGATGAAATTAGTAATTAACGACATTACAGGGGTCCTGGCTGCCTGCACACAGGCTTGCACATAGGGGGCTGTCGATGGAGGACGCCCATGGAGCGCTGCAACCACAACTATTGCCAGAAATGGGATCAAATAGGATGTTTCAGCACTTAACTTCCAGCTCCCGAGGGCTTTGCAAAGCAAAGCATCCTCCTTGCTGCCAGGTGACCTGAGCCACCCCCCCATGACACCCCCTCGACTGGGTGCAGGCAACAAGGGACACGCGGCTTCTTCTCAGGAGGCCAAAATAGCAGCGAATTGCAAGTGTGCATTTGATAGATGCAAATCTATCAATGTGATGCAAAACATCAGTGCTGGCTGAAATCTTCCTGTCAAAACACGCTTTTCAGTGCAAACAAGTCTTTGCACGGCTTTTCTCTCCTGATTGAAATGTTCCAGCTTTTCTTCAATAAAAACCCCAACCGGTGCTGGGGAAACATTTTAATGAGAACAGATTTGGAGGTGTCCTTCTAAGTATAGAGGAACAAATCTGCTTTGAGAAAATGGGGGTAGGTGGTGGGGAGGAAGTAAAACCCATACTGTAATTTAAAGTTCATGCAAAACAAATACCCTTTTCCAACCAGCTCTGCAAACTGCACTTGCCCAAACCCACCACCAGCATATCAGAGGCTCGAAAGGGAAAACCCAAGGTCAGATTTGCCCCTGACAGTGGTTTTATGGGTGAGCAAGGACGCAGAGATCCTGCTCTCCAGAGGTGCTGCTCCATCTCCTCCTGCTTGTCCCCACAACTGCAGTCCCCATGACCAGCCATGGCAGGGACAGCATGGACCCAGTGCCAAGGTCGCCGGCACGCACAGCACAGGGGCATCTGCTGTGTGAGCTGCTGCATCCATCCCAAGCCTGCCCACCCTTCCAATGGGGTGCTTCCATATCCCACAGGCCCTGCAAAGGAGCCCGAGCATTCATGGGATGCTCCAGTTTCCAGCTGAACAACCCAACACAACCAGCAACGAATTGTCCTCGTGCTGGGTGGACTGCTGCAAACATGTATAACCTGCAGGCACCCCGCTATGAAACTGCATCTCCCCTGCCGAAGCTTCCACATCAACCCACTTGCAGCTCAGGGTCTCAGCCTGGTGTGTGGGATGGTCACATCCTGCCCTCCCCACTGTCAAAGCCCCAGCAGCTCCAGTGGCACAGACCATTAGTGCTCCTCTTTGCATTTACCTGCGAGGAAGGATGGGAAGGGGGAGAGTTTTCTCCCATCCTTTCCATTAAGACTTGTACTTCACCCTCCTTCCTTGCTTGCTGCCCACCTCCTATTTTCCCCCATTACCCTATTTTAGGCAAGACCTCTTGCTTCCTTTGTCCTCTCTGACAACGGCTGTGATCCAGTGCCAGGTGTCCTGTGCTGATGGATGTCCCATAGGGACTGTGCTGGAGGTGCTGGGCAGGCTGTCAGCAGCACAGAAGCAGCCCTGCAATGGGAGGCTGAGTGAGATCTCATCCTTTTCCCCCTAAAAAAGAGAAAGGGGAGCCTGAGAGGGCAGGTTCCTTGTGTGGCCACAGCTTCTGGACCCACAGCTACCACCAGACGCTCACAGGAACCCAGGGTGCTGGGGATGCCCATGTGCCCCACGATGGAGACACCATTTTAGGTGTGCATAAAGCTGGGAGACCTGCATCTGCCTTCTCTGCACCAGATTCCTGCCGTCTGGAAGAAGGTGCTGGCCTGGCTGCCTGGCTCACTGCTGTAATTACACTTTACAGAGCAGTGTTCCCTCCTGGGGCTCGAGCCGCCTGCACCCCAGGACATGCACATTGTTCATCCCCATTGCTTTTAGCCTCCTGCAGCCCAGGCACCTAAAATGTGCCTCAGGAAACCTCATGGTCTGAGCAGAACCATCACAAGGAGAACAAAGAGCTGAAAGCCTCAGTGTGTGAACAGTCAGCCATTTTAAGGTGAGATGTTTCCACTGCTGATGCACTGCACTTGGATTTGGGACCTATAAAAAGCATTACCAGAAGGTGTGGGGATGTAGGAGACTGCGAAGCCTTGCTTTGATTACACACCCAAGCAACCATTAACGTCAACAGCAAGGGAATGTAATGCATGAAGAAAATAATCCACAGCCAATTTCCTCTGCTGGAGCTTACACTCAATGGTGCTGGTAGCATCCTTCACCATTGTAATGAGAGCATCAGGGAGACAGATACCCTGCTCAGCATCCCGCCCTCCTCCAGCCACCACCAGCAAGTGAAGGATGTGCTAGCAGAGGAGAAGGGAAGACAACGAAGGTCAAATCCTGCCTGGCAAGAAGCGTTTCCTTATGGCTTATACCCCAGTTAAGCCCTTGTCTCAAGTCACAGAGATACCTTGCGCAGATACTCCACTCAGTGATGAGTTAGACCCCTGGCAGAGGACCAGCCTCCTTCAACACCCACCTGGCTCAGATCCTGGTGGAACCAGGTCCTGGGTCCCTCTCCAGTTTCCCTTTACAGTTGTCAGTCACGGGGACGTTTCCAGCACAGATCTGCATAACTTATTGGAGGCTGTGAAGGCGAAATAACTGCTTTGAGCACTGCCAGATCTCCCACCAGGATTATGGATGGGACCACAACGCAAAGACCTGCCGTGGTTTCTGGCACAGAAAGGGGGGGTATGGTGCTGGCTGGAATAGGTTTATGGGTATGTCTACCAGGCCCATCAGCTGGGAAGGGGTGTACATGGATGACCACATGGCTGAGCTTTCCTGAATTACTTCTAATGTGATGAGAGCACCCATTCAAAGATTGTAATCCAGCGATGAGCACCAGGATCCCACCTTGCATTTCCCATTGATGTCTACTCCAGCAGGAGAGCATTCCAGGCTCCAACTCCAGCCCTGCGCAAGAGCTGCGTGTTGTAGCCCTGCAAACCCAAATGCTTGCTCCCCAGCACCTCAAACCAGGGCTCCTGCAGCTTCAACCCGGGTGTGAGGCTCCTCAAGAGTCCTCTGTGCTGAGGGTGCAGGGTACTGCCAATGCTTTGGGTTGGAAGGGACCTTAAAGATCATCTGGTTCCAATCCTGGAGCCATGCTCTTCTTTGTTGCCTGGCTCTTCTGCTCTGGATACAACAGATACACCTTTTGCCATGAGCACACACACTGCCTTCTCCATCCCACTGGAGAAACAGAACAAGCCTGGTCCAGGATGGAAAGAGCACACTCCCTTCTCCCAAGAACCACCAACTATTCCTAATACATCAAACCACCCCCCAGCACATCCCTTACCAAAGGCACAACGCAGCGAAGCACAGACAATGCTCTGCTGCAATATGGACTGAGCCCGGCATCAGTGCAGAGCTGAGCACATAAAGACCAGGCTGGACCTGAGCCCAAGTAAGCTCTGGTAATGAAGGTTTCCTGCTGCACATCAGAGGCTACAGGGACTGTCTCTCTGCTGCCAGGCCTCTGCCAAGTAATCAGATCTGGCTGCTCGAGTCCAGGCCCCTAATAAAGGTTTTGCTCTTAAAAGCATCAGATTGCTGCAAGGAAAACCCAAACAAAACATTGGGCCCAGTGCGATAAAACACTGCAGAGGAAAAGCTCAGTGATCCAGGGGATGGAGCACAGATTTATTCAGCTTTAAGAAACAGGAGGAGAAGGCAGCAGATGGGTCAGGCTTTAAAGAAAATACTTAAGGGTTTGTATTGTAGGGTGGGCTACAGGAAACCTGGAGAGGGGCTTTAGACAAGGGCCTGTAGGGACAGGCCAAGGGGAATGGCTTTAACCTGCCAGAGGGGAGACTGAGATGAGCTCTTAGGCAGAAGCTCTTCCCTGTGAGGGTGCTGAGGCACTGGCACAGGGTGCCCAGAGAAGCTGTGGCTGCCCCATCCCTGGCAGTGTTCAAGGCCAGGTTGGACACAGGGGCTTGGAGCAAGCTGCTCCAGTGGAAGGTGTCCCTGCCCATGGCAGGGGTTGGAGCTGGATGACCTTAAGGTCCTTTCCAACCCAAACCAGGCTGGGATTCTGTGATTACAAAATCAGGACCTGATCTCATGCTGAGCTCCATGGAGGAAGCCGACTGGTGAGCGTGGCTGCACGGATGGGACCGGGCACCGCGCTTGTGCTGCTGCTCCTACAGGAATTACTGCAAGCATTTACTCTGCTGGAATATCTTCCAGACCTGCTTTTAAAAGTCAAACCTAACCCAACGTTAAATGAACAGTGCCCCCGCCAAGCTGCGTGGCCACTTGAAAGCCCAACTGGCCCTGGTAGCCCTGGAGAAGGGAACTCATGATCCTGTGGGCATCCTTCCTGAATAGCCGGCTTGTTTTGTTGTGCAAAACATGACTCTAAAAGAAAACCACAAGTGATCACATCTTCATCTGACAAACAGCACCAGACGGAGGGGGAAGAGATGAATGAGGAACTGTTACATGACTGTTTCCAGCTTTTGGTTTTACAGCTCAAGCCAGGAGGGCTGTTTTCCCTGCAGATACTCTGAATTACTCTGCCTCTCAGGGAGATGTTCCCGAGTGCGGTTGAATCAGGAATCCCCTCTTGCCATCACTTACATTGGGGATTTCCACACTGAAGTCACCATTCACCTGCCAGTCTCTTGGATGTTTGCCAGAGTAAAGACTGAGCCCAGGGCCCCAAAACACCTTCCAGAGACACAGAAGGGAGCTGGACCCCCCTTTGGTGGTGGTGCATTGTGAAACCCCAGCAATGGTGATGGGCCTGAGGGGCACAGAGTGGCTCACATCAGGTGGGTGAAGCTGGCCCCAAAGCCTCGTGGTGGCTCTCCACCACCTTTGTCCTGGTGTCCTCCCACCCAAACCGGGACATCTCCGCTCCCTCCTTTTCTCACCAAAGGATCATTGATGTCCTATGCGCAGCCAGGGTTATGGTTCTGAGGTTTGATCCAACTGCACAGGTTAAACACGTTTAAAAAGATGAGCACAGGAAGGAAACCCACATGAATAAAACCCAGTCCAACACCTAAACTCAGCCATCCTCAAAGCCTCAGTCAAGGGCTTTCTGAACAACCATTTAGGGCTGTGGCTCTTCTGCCACATGCAGGCATGGGGAGCCCATCTGCCCTGTGACAGCAGGCAGGGACCTGGGAAGGTTTCTGTTTGCTTTGTGAATGAGGGAGCATCCCAGGGGGACTTTGGTCCATGATGCTGCCTCGGCCACCAGCATGGTGTGATAAGGAGCAGACACTGCCACTTGCCACATCCCCACCTCTCCCCTCCAATCCCACCTCTCACCCAGCTGCAGGCCCTGCCCACAGTGGGAACTGGTTTGAGACAGAGGTAACTGGACTGCAGCAGCCAAGCAGGGCTCTGAACCCCCAAGCTGGAGCAGTGATGAAGAAGGGTCCTCAACAGATCTGCCAGCAAACAGGAGACCTGGGGAAAGCGGCTCTAAGGGCTTTTAATGTGAGCTTCCACAGCCTGATCCCCCTCTGAAAACAGCAGAAACACTCCCTTTGAGCTCAGTGACTTCAGAGCCAACCCCAAATACTGCAAACATTTCTGCCTGGGCCAGCACAGTGCTCATCCCACACTTGTCCACACCAGTGAGCCCTGCACTTGCTTGGGGTTAAGTTGATGTATTTCTGTAGCTGTAAGCTCTCTGGTGAACACAGAACCATGAATCGAGTGACTCTGCCATTGAGTAAATCAGCCAGCAAATGTATGCATGGCTGTTTTCTAAGCTGGAATTTTTATCTCTATGTTCCGTATTCTGTTCCTGCTTCCCAGCAGTGCAGATCCCCTTCTGTACGACAAGGAGGATGAGCTCTTTATGGAAGGCCTAACTCACCATCAACAGGCCCACGATTTATCCAACTGTACCCCAGACCAGCACCACTGCCAACAGTTTGTCACTCAAGGGGGATCGAGGAGGAGCCATGTGGATCTGGACCAGGTTTATCAGGACTGAGACCATTCTTCTAGGACACAACTGCTGCCAGGTACCCAAACCCTACCCAAAACACCCCATCCAGCCCAACCTGGATGCTCCACATCCATACCTGACCTTCTGTTCTCCAGTAAAGGGGTTGGGGGCTGTCTCAAAGCTCTGGAGAGCACGCTGGCCCCCATCCAGCTAAAGATTTCAGTATGTGGTTTAACGATAAGCATGTGATTGCAGCTGGAATTGCTCACGTGCTTAAAGATAAGCACATGCTCCCATGCTGTGCTGCACAGGGCCTCATCCAGGCACCCCCAAACGCACCCACTGGGTGAGTGTGAAGGAGGGAGCTGGGTGGGCAGCACCTTCTCCCACACCTTTCCTTCACTCCCTGCTTCCATGGGGCACTGCTGAGGGTGACACAGAGCCAGTGCGGTGGCCGAGAGCCTCCGTGCACAGCAGGGATGTGACACGGGTGAGGATGAGCCCCCCAGGCCCAGCTTGGCTCACCCACAGCCTCCAACCAAGCACTGGAGCCAGGAGCCGGCTGTTGGGAGCACCAGTTAGACCCAACTAACTGGTTGCCCCCTTTTGGGAAGGGCCCGGCATTGCCGACCTCTGGAATCATTCATGCCTGCAAATCCTAGCAGGTAAAAGCCAGGCTGGGGAGGAGAATCAGTGCCTGCCCTTTCCCTCGGGCACCACGGCCCCAGCGAGCACCAGCGTGCAGCTCCCTGTGCTGCTTATTCACGGACCATCAGCGAGCAAAGCCTTCCCTGAGCTGCCACACAGCATCTTCCAACCTCCTGCTCCACAGGAGGAACTCAGATGGGAAACAGCCCAAAAAGATGACATTCTTGTGCACGAACAGGGGCAGCTGGGCAGGGCTGGCTCCCAGATTTCTTCTGTCACACACACATACGCACAGAGCATGGAAGGAAAATGTCCTCTGCCTGCCGATTTAGACCTCATCCGCTTGCTCCTTCCTCAAGCACCAGGGGCACATTCACCCGCCGCACCTTCCCCAAGGAAACTCCGGGCGAACACCCCCCGGGAGCCCCTCAGCCGGGCACCACCCGGCACGGCTGCACCAGCGCCGCACGCCTGCAGCACCGCCGCACGGTACCTGCGCTCCGCACACGGCACGGGCACCGCACACTGCAACGGGCGCCGCACAAGCACCGCGCACACTGCGTGTTGCAGCGGGCACTGCACCCTGCACGGGCACCGCAATTCCCATCACCCGGGCACTGCCCAACGCAAGGGGCACCGCACGCTGCAGTGTGCTCTGCCCATCTTCCGGGCATTGCCCAACGCCCGGTGCCGAGCCCCGCGGCCCCGCTGCCCGGCCGGGATGACCGTTCTGCCTCACCCAGGTCGTCACCCGGAGGATGGTCTGCGGCTGCTTCAGGAAATCCACGGGGTCGATGGCTCCCCCGGCCCGGCCCGCTCCGAAGGAGGCTCCTTCCATCTTCCCCCGCCGCCCGCTCCGCTCCGAGCGCGCCCCGCGCCGGCAGCGCGCCTGCCCGGCTCCCCCCCCCCCCCCGCGCGTCTACCGCGTGGGCTCGTCCGCAGCGCCGCGTGCGGGCAACGGGAGGAACCACCCATCGGCCGGGGGGGGTGGAACGGCAGGTGCGCGCACCCGAGCTGCGGCCGTGGGTACCACAGCACAGCCCTGGGCATCGCTCTGCTGCGGCCGTGGGTACCACAGCACAGCCCTGGGCACCACAGCACAGCCCTGGAAATCGCTCTGCTGCGGCCGTGGGTACCACAGCACAGCCCTGGGCATCGCTCTGCTGCGGCCGTGGGTACCACAGCACAGCCCTGGGCATCGCTGTGCTGCAGCTGTGGGCACCGTCTTGTGTCTGGGGACAGCACAGTACAGCCAGGACACCTCACCACGGGCAGGATCACAGTGTTATCCCAAGGATAACCATCCTATGGATATAGTCACCATGCTGCTTCTGGGGACAGCATGCTACGGCCAGGGGTTGGGGGATGTTGCCAGCATCACTGTTTGATGGCAAGGACTTGGCTACAGCCAGGGCAACCCATGGCTGGGCCGTTGGCAGGAGGGAGATGCCATAGATTGCAGCACAGGGAGGTCACCACACTGCTTGGCTCAAGCCTGCTCCCATCACTGCGGACCGCAGCAGGAAGGGCTGTTGTCACCTCTTCTAGGGGTCAGGGGCCCTGGGGGCCCCACAACAGGCCCTCAGCGGAAGAAGGGCTTCCTGCCCCACAGCAGGAGTAGGGTGCTCCACCAGGAGCTTCCCCTTGGATGAGAGCAGCCTGCTGCCCACCACAGGGAGAGGTTTGGTGGTTGCTTCACTTCAAAGCATACTGCTACATAACCATTAAGTGGTGCAAGAAAAGGGAAGTGAAGGCTGGTGGGGCTGAAGCTTTTGCTTTCCTCATGCAGGAAAGGAGGCACCCAGAGCTCTCCTGGGACAGGAGGAGGCCGAGCCCCATCCCCACTCCCTCTTCCAGTAGGAAGGAGGAAAAAGAGAGGAACCTTGCAGAGGGAAACCCTCAATTACAGCAAGGGGAGTTCCCCCCTGCGGCTCCAGGACCAGCTCCTGAGTGAGGTTTTCGTAGCACCGTGATGATGATCCCGGTTCCATAGATACCGATGCCATGACAACTCTGACATCATCTCTGCTCCGGCCGGGAACTGCAGGGAAAGTCACAGGGAGGAGTACGCATGCACGGCGCAGGCCTTGGGGCTGGGGGCTTCTTGTGGCTCCATTACAGCTCTGCTCCATCCATACCTCCCCATCCCTTCGTGCAGGGAGCAGCGCTGCTGCCACATCACACGGGACACGTGTGTAACAGGCGTGTTAAGCCCCTCGCATGCAAAACACCAACAAAGTGAAGGATTCCCATGTGCTGGGCCCTGTCTGCAGCTCCTTCTGGCCTTCAGCAGCTCTGTCAGTCTGTTCGTTCTGGCAGGTGGAATCAGGGTTTAACAGTTAAGGCTCATGATGATGCCATTCAGTTTCTCTCAATTACAGGTGAGTCATCATCTCTCCACATCTATTTCTGACGCTCAGCAGGAAAAGCAGAATTCAGCCTTTCATTCCTCAATGTCACCAGCCCAGGAGCGATCACACTGTACAATGCAAATGAGAAATGGCCACCAAGAGAATGCCAGCTTGGTCCCTCCTGGGTTCTTCTGGCAAGATGTCTCATGAGGCTGGCCAAGGATTGCATCCCAGAATCCGAGCATTGCCAGCCCATGCCTGAATTGCAGGTTAAGCACAAAGACTGTATTAACTTGAAGAGATTACCATAGGTGAGGTCTTTATACAGGTTCAGCAGTTTAGCAGCAGCAGCTGTTCCAGTGTCCTCAAAAATCACTTCCTTGCTTTGAGAACACGTCATCCTGCACCCATCAGCCCAGAGCTGTATGTGATGGTGAGGTTGCCCTGTCTGTGCTGGGCTCAGCACAACCCAGAATGGGTTTCCTACACACTCATTACCACCCCACACATCCCAGCTGGGCTTGTGCCACATCAGCAGCTCACATATGTAAAAGGCTGTGGACAGACCCTTGGAAAACTATTGGCATTAGGAAAGCTGTGTGGTAGGACATAGCAGGAGAGTGGTGTGTTCCTGGGGCCACCGCACAGGGAATCACAGAGACCTCTGGGGTCTGCTCTTGGTTTCCTGATGACATTGGGAAAGCCACTTCAATCCTGCCCTTCTCTGAAATGTCTTGTCCAGCTCCTCTGTCCTGACTGGAACAAGCCTATTTCAAACAGTGCAAACCACAAGGGACCAAGACACCACCTCAACCTTTCAGATGATCCCATAGAACAAAGCACATCCATTTCCAGAGAGAGATCCGGTTTATAAACTTCAGGGCATGATCCTGATGCACCAGGCAAGGTCCCCACTGAAATCCCCCCTTCTAAACTCATCCTCTTTCGAGGTCCAGCTCTCCAACTTTGCTGCGTGCAGCACCATGTCCACAATCACTTCTCATGTCGTGCGAGCTCTCCTCCCCTGCCACAGTGCAGATAATGCACAGCAGCTATCTCAAGCCTCCATACAAACTGTAGTTTTGTTTCACTTCCTCTTGCTGCTAATAAGCCAACAGATACACAGAGCCAGCCAATAATGGGAAAGGATATTACAACCTGAACGTTTTCCCCATCAAATGAGGGGGGAAAAGAACAGCGTTTGGAAATGGCACTTTCCAGAACGTTTGCACAAGTTCTGCCTGCATTTGCCATTCCCCCTGGATTTCAGTGACAGGGAGCAAACAGAGCAGCACACAGACAAGTGCCTGAGATCTCTGCATGGTTTGATTTTACATCAGTTTCATTAAGGGTAAGGAAAACAAGGCTTTGCCTCCTACTTCTTGTAGCCCCCCTGACTTCCTCATCCTTGTCTCCAACACAAAAAAGCAATGTTTTTTTTTTATCCAGGGATAAGCACACGGTCATGACAACCCTGAGGAGACAAGAGGGGCTTTCTCCTCCTTCAAAGCCTGATGAAGTCAGCCCCATGCACTCAGCTAAGGGCTGACTTCAACCAGCTCTATAAAAGCAGTGATTTTCAAAGCCATATGGCTGAATATAAGCAATTCACAGAAGCTGACCAGGTTACCTGTTGTAAGCGATGCTGGCACTGCTCAGGGAAGCGCAATGTATCTGCTCAAATCCCCAAGCAGATGGCTGAGGCTTTACAGTTCCAGTGTTGCCAGGGTCAGGATCTGGCCCGTAGGAAACCCAGTAATGAACAAGATGAGTTAATATGATTCACACCTTGAATCCTGAGCTCACTTCTGAGCTCCTCACTACAGGAGAGACATTGAGGTGCTGGAGCGGGGCCAGAGAAGGGCAATGGAGCTGGTGCAGGGCCTGGAGCACAAGTGTGATGGGGAAGGGCTGAGGGACCTGGGGGGGTTCAGTCTGGAGAAGAGAAGGCTCGGGGGAGGACCTGATCGCTCCCTATAACTGCCTGACAGGACGGATGGAGCCAGGAGGGGCTGGGCTCTGCTCCCAAGGAACAAGGGATGGGACAAGAGGAAACGGCCTCAAGCTGCACCAGGGCAGGTTTAGATGGAGCTGAGGAACAATTCCTGCCCCAGAGGGTGCTCAGGCATTGGAACAGGCTGCCCAGGGCAGGGCTGCAGTCACCGTCCCTGCAAGTGTTCACACAGCGTGGAGACGAGGCCTCAGTGCCATGGGTTAGCGGTGGCCTTGGCAGCGCTGGGGAATGGTTGGACTGGGTGAGCTCAAAGGTCTTTTCCAACCCAGTTGATTCTATGATTTCTTTAGCAAGACTGACCACATTTTCTCCATGGTAGCAATGGGACGCTCCTGATTTATCAGACAAAACCATCAGCCCCACTTTCTATTCAGCATCTCTGAAACTAAATAGTGATGTGAAACTGCTCTGCTCTCAGGACAGCTTTGACAGTGTATTGATATGAAGCAATCCAGCTTCACAGAACACAGGCTCTGTGCAGCACATAACCCAAGGGAGCCAGCCAGGCTCCAGCCAGGCGTTACAGCCCACCGACTTCAGCAGCTCCGTGAGGTCCAGTACTGTCTTCTGCACAGGCGTAGGTGGTAGAACAGCTTGTCCTTCACATTCCCCAGGCAGCACGCTTGAAACAGGACTGTGATAGATGCTCACTTAGTTGTTACTCTGAAATGCTTTCCTGGAGCTTGGCTAAACATTGCTTTCAGCAATTAGTCTCTAGAACAACAAGAGAGTTGATGGAAACATTTAGAGGTGATTAGAAATGCACAGTGCCCAGCAGCAGAGAGAAGGGACTTCCTGATCAGCAACCTGAGCACGCTATCACTAGAAAGCTACTTAATGCCTTCCACCCTAAGAGATCCCAAAATATCTGGAAGATCATTTATTAGCTGGTTACTCATCCACTTCTGAAATGCAGCCATTTCTCAAGTGGGATTTGGCACAAGTATAAATGCATGATAAGAATGCAAGGAAAAGAATGAAGAAAACTTTCCTAACTGGAATCACTGGGGAAAGATTTGGGTGACAGAAATCTCTTCACTGAGATAGCAGTTGTTCTGAACTGAAGAGTCAGTATTCCAGTACTTGCATAAGGCCCAAACTGAACAAAACCCCAAAGGGTTTCAAAATGCTTCCCAGTGGTGCAATCGTGAGCTTGAAGTCTCATCTGGCAAACTTATTCTTTGCTGCTTGACACACTTCATAGCATGACAAGTTTGGGGGTTTCTGGCAAACCAGTAAGCTAAACCTATCAGGCACAGGGCTGCACAAAGGCTCACAACACCTTGGGAGGAGCTAGAGGGATGGGAAGGCAGATCCCTGGCTGCTTTCCAAAGGGACATCCTTCGGACCACAACAGCAAGTCACATCATGTAGGGCCTGACCAAAGCATCCCTGACCAAGTGGAGTTCAGTACTTGTTATCTGCTGCCTGCACTGAGCAGGGGTGGTAATGTGAGCAGAGCTGACACGAGGCAGCCTCTGAGCAGCTCGAGCCATGTTCTGACATGCAGAGCTTCTG